ACAGCATACATAATATCAGGTCTAGCTGTTGTTAAGTACATCAAACTTCCTACAATTTGCTTGTATAAAGTACTATTAATCTTCTTTCCTTCATGGTCCTTCGTGAGCTTCAAACTTGGTTCAATTGGAGTTCCCACTGAGTTACAGTCCATCATCTGAAGCCTGTCCAAGATCTCTAAAGCATATTTCTTTTGTGTGATGAAAATCCCAGCTGTTGATTGCACTACTTCGATGCCAAGAAAATAGCGCATCATTCCTAGATCAGTCATCTCGAATTCTGCCATCATTGACATTTTAAACTCCTCAAACATTGCTTGATCATTTCCTATGTAGATTAAACCATCCACATACAAACAAACAATCAGAATTTTCTCTATAGATTCTGATTTAATAAAGAGAATATGCTCATATGGACATTTTTTAAACCCAACCTTGGCAAAATAAGTCTCAATGCGGCTGTACCAAGCTCTAGGTGCTTGTTTCAGCCCGTATAAAGCATTCTTCAACTTGTATACTATTTCTTCACTTCCTTGTTGCACATAGACAGGGGATTGATTTATAAAAACTTGTTCATCCAGATTGCCATGTAGAAAAGCTGATTTTACATCCATTTGAAAGATTGGCCAATAATTGTGATGCCAAAGCCACCACCATTCGAATAGTATCATGCCTTGCAACTGGAACAAAAACTTCCTTGTAATCGACACCAAATTGCTACTTGTATCCCTTTGCAACGAATCGAGCTTTATACTTGTCTACTTTTCCATCTTTGTTCAACTTAGTTTTATAAACCCATTTAACACCAATGGATTTTTGTCCGTTTGGAAGTTCCGACAGCTCCCATGTGTTGTTTTTCTCTATTGACCTAATCTCTTCATCCATGGCTTTTTGCCATTTTGGATCTTTGACAGCTTCTTAGAAGGTTATTGGATCACAATCTGATAATAAAGCATAATGAGCAAGAGTATCATCAGAATGATCACCACTAACCTCATAATCCTCCATCCATGTTGGTCTTCTTCTGATTCGTTGAGATCTTGAACTTGCACCTTCTGTTTGAGCTTTAGTGACATCAAGTGGCTGCTGCAGCTGATGGTCAGGTTGTAATGACAGAGGTGTATTAGAAATAGTTTGCATTTCTGCTCCTTTTTCTTCAAAGTCTAAGGTATTGGCTATTTCCCTGCAGTGTTCTCTGTCCAATTCCATGTATTTTCTTCCTCAAAAATAACACCGCAACTGATGACAATCTTTCCTGTGATTGGATTGAATAACTTGTAAGCTTTTGACTGCTCACTAATTCCAAGAAAGACACATTTTTCGCCTTTGTCATCCAACTTCTTCCTCTTCTCATCGGGAATGTGTGCATATGCAATGCACCCAAAGACTTTAAAATGATCAACCGATGGTTTCCGCCCATCCCAAGCTTCTTGTGGAGTCATGTTTCTAACCGAAAAGGTGGGACTTCGATTCAAAACATGAACACTCAAATTTATCGCTTCCGGCCAAAATCTTTTTGGAATCCTTCCATTTGCTGTCATGCTTCGAACCATGTTGAGGATAGTCCAATTCTTCCTTTCTGCTATGCCATTTTGCTGAAGCGTGTAGGCTGCTACCAATTGACGTCAAATTCCATGCTCATCACAAAAAATTTGCAAATTCTTGTGACATATATTCTCCCCCACGATCAGTTCGGAGAATTTTAATTGTTCTCCTAACTTCATTCTCCACTAAGGCTTTAAAGCTTTTAAAAACTGAGAATGCTTCAGATTTTTCCTATAAGAAATAAGTTCATGTTTTTCAACAATAATCGTCAATAAAAGAAATAAAATATTTCTTTTTACCATTTGATATTGGGTTTATTGGACCACATATATCAAAATGGATTAGTTCTAATGGTCTATGCGCTCTCCATGCCTTGCCTTTTGGAAATTGTTCACGATGTTGTTTGCCAACAATACATTCTTCACATATTTTGGAAGGAGGAGTAATTTGAGGAAGGCCGATCACCATTTGCTTATGAGAAAGAGTCTGTAGACCTTTGTAATTCAAATGGGCATATCGCAAATGCCAAAGCCATGTGGACTCATTTACATCAGCCTTGAAACATGTTTCAATGCTTTCTATTTTAAGTGGAAACAACCTGTTTGAAGTCATCTTGACATGAGCTATTACTCCTCTTCTTGGATCATAGATTTCATAAGCACCGCCTTTGATTGTCGTCTCATATCCCTTCTCTTGCAGTTGTCCAACACTTAATAAATTGCTTTTCAAATCAGGAATATAAAAAACATTTGATATAGTCTCAACATTGCCCTTTTTAGTCCTAATTTGAACATCACCCTTTCCCATAACATTTACTTTAGAATGATCACCAAAGGTCACAGTAGAATGAAAATTTTCATTTAAGTGGGAAAAGAAAGACTTGTTACCACACATATGATTGTTGCATCCCGTATCTATATACCATATGTCTGGTTCAAGCTCCTCCTTGAGGTGAGATGCCATCAAGAGTGTTTCTTGTTCCTTTTTCTCTGCAAAGTCGAAATGCTCTCCTTTGTCATTGTTAGAGCTTGCAGTGCATTTAGACTTGTAATGACCAAACTTGTGGTAGCGATAACACTCGATGTTGGACTTATCAAACTTTGAGTCATTGTTGAGAGATTGTTGGTGGTGATCATGTCCTCTGCCTCTGCCCCAAGAATCTGGTGTATAAGAACCTCTTCCTCTTCCTCGTCCTCTTCCACTGCCTCGACCACAACCTCTATTTAATCATCTCCCTGTCGAGCTTTCACCATGAGTTGAAGCCTTTAAAGCTTGTTCTTCGGTTGAACATGTTGATGTTGTCATTCTCTGCTCATGCACAAGCAAAAAACTTTGCAGTTCATCAATTGAAAGTTCATCGAGATCTTTTGACTCCTCAATAGAACAAACCACATAAGAGAATTTAGGAGTCATTGATCGAAGAATCTTTTCCACCACAGCTACATCTTCAATTTTTTCACCATGGATACGCATCTTGTTTACTATTGCCAAGGTTCTTGAGAAATACTCATCAATAGACTCTCCTTGCTTCATGTGAAGAATCTCAAACTCTTTGCGAAGAGCTTGAAGCTGCTACCTTTTCACCCTTATTGTGCCCTGATGCTTTTTCTTCATGGAATCTCATATCTGTTTACAAGTATCCTTTTGTAGAATAGTCTCCAAAATGGAACGATCAATTGCTTGAAACAAATAATTCTTTGCCTTGAGATCCTTTAACTTTCGTTCTTCTAGTTTCTTTTTGCTCTGCTTCTGACAATACAATTCTAGGAGCTGGTTAAGCCACACCTGTTTCCACAATAGTCCAATACTCCTTGGATCGCAGAAAATTCTCCATCAACATACTCCAATGATCATAATGACCATCAAAGCGAGGAATTGTTGGTTGCACATAGTTGTCTGATGCCATTATCGCCTACTGGCTGTCTGCAAAAGAACAAAATAAACCCAAAACCCTTGTTGGCTCTGATACCAAATGTTAGTGCTTAAAACTGTTTAGAACTCACATAAAAGGCAAAGCTAATCTATTGACTGGAGAGCATGATTTTATTGATGAATTTAAACCATTAAATACAACTAAATCAGAGATGCACATAGCAGAAAAATAGGTAGCAACTAACCCATGACTAACAACTCCTAAGCTCATGGATTTTTCCTAAAGAATTGGTAAACACTACCTAACTTCCTAAAGAATAGGATTACAAATTTATTCTGCTGAATAACAACAAAATAATAAACTTTAACACTACTTCCTCTCAGCAGCTTGTAAACATTCTGAGTTTTAAATATTGATGACCAGATGGCCAAGTGCATTCTACAGCCACACTGTAGATATGTATCATAGAAAGAAGAGGGCCAAACACCAACTGAAAGAAGGAAAAAGTTGGAACTTTAGATTGCATACCTCACTAAGTGTACAAATATAATGATTTGGTCCATCTGATCCCAAAAGATTTCTCTTAATAAGTTAAAGCTCAAAAGCATGTCAGTCCAAACCACACAATCTTCAACTACAATCTTGATTAAGATAAATCAATCGAGATAAAATCAAAAGGTGCAATTTATACAGTCAAGAATTTTATCAAGGAAATACATACCGTTCAACAAGTCATCATCAAACGAATAAAAGGCTCGCCAGATTTAAGCTTAACAATTATCATTATGAGATCTTCAAAGATTTGAACAGACAAAACATAAATAAACTATATATTTCTTTGAGGTTGGAAACTACATTTCCTTTTGGGAATTACAACTATATATCATGTATCCAACAACAAAAATATTATGGTATATCAAATTAAAAGGTTGCATCTATTTACTTTAGCAAAAGCTCAGCTCTATTTTCAAATACAAACTAATTCCTGAAATGGCTGAGTTGGCAATAAAACCATCAAACTAGCAAGTTCATGTCAGTCACAATGTACAGATATCCTGCCAGTCTTCAAGCAATTCGATCTTCATTGCAGCCCACGCAATGTGGGCACATTTGTGCCTTTTCCAAAAACAGTCATGAAGTACCAGATGAGAAAAAAGTCTGATAAGCCCACCATGTCAACACATTCATTATTCAGACATGTATTACCATGTAATTAATGTTTCATACAAGGTAATGTAAAGGCATGTTAAGTAGTATTAATCAATTTGCACAAGCAGTATTTAGCAACATTGGAGTAAGAAATAGGTATAAGCTTCAGTAACTGTTTTAAGAATATTTTACATATCTGTCTAAAAGAAGTTAGTGCCCTGATTAAGTTAGGAATATATGGATACAACACTATTAAAAGCACCGCCAGTCATGCAAAAGCTTCTTTACTATATTGGAGACTGTTGGGGCATGAAATGCAACTAGAAAAGAGGATGATGGATTAAGTGGCAGATGCCAGCCTAAAGTATGAGATGCTTGGTATCATTGTATACAAACTGTACATTGAAATATGGGCCTGTTATTATTCTTTACTTTGGTTTGATTACTTATTGTAGGCTGTGGGCTATCTTTTTATTCTTTTATTTTCTTGGGCTGATTATGTAATGGGCCTCCTCTGCCACTTTACTTTACTGCTTCTGCCTATTGGGGCATGCAGATTTATCTTTTTATGCATTATTAAATCAGATTATACATAAGATAATGGGGTGGCAGTTAGGCCCCATGGTTGTTTCTCCCAAAAATGAATTCTCTCTTCTCTTTTCTCTCTTCCTCTTATGTCCTGCTCTGTTTTGCTTAATTTCTTGCTGATTATACAATTCTTTATTGAACATTCCTACTGTGGTGGTTTACAAGTTGGTATTAGTGCAGGTTCCTCTTCTTTTTCTCTCCTTTGGGTTCATGTTTCACTAGGATCAGAAATGAACGTGAGTAGGTGAAGAGGCTGATCATTACAATTGTTGTCAAATGTTACCTGATTTTTTAAGGATTTTGAGAGAAGGTTTTAGTTTGTTTTGCTGCTTAAAAAGAGTTCTTAGAGATTGGAGCCCAAAAATTGAAGAAAATCAGAAAATTCTGATCAGCTTGTATTTGGAGACCTTAAAGCAAGTTCAGGTGTGGCACTCAGGTATTGTTTAAGAAGTTTTTATTGTTCTTGAGATTCCCACGTGTTCCAGAGTGTTATGGTGAGACTGGGAGCAACTTCTGTTTCTCTCACTGTGTTTTGGCACCAGGATCAGTGAAACCCTGAAAAATTGTGTGGGGTCTTGAGATTCCCACGTGTTCCAGAGTGTTATGGTGAGACTGGGAGCAACTTCTGTTTCTCTCACTGTGTTTTGGCACCAGGATCAGTGAAACCCTGAAAAATTGTGTGGGGTCTTGATTGTTGGTCAAGAATAGTTACTTATATTGTTTAAAGAATTCCTTTAGTTGTTTCCGACTGAGATGGATCCTTTTGGCAGAGATTCTAAGCGGGGGTGTGGATCCTAGGAGTAACCCTAGAAGCTCTGGGGACACCCTAAGTTCACAAATTACTGCAATTAAGTTTGATGGGAATAACTACTTGGAATGAGCACAATCTATATATAGGAATGTGTGGTAAGCTGGGATATCTTACAGGCTCAAAAGTGGAGCGATCCACAGGATGCTAAGTATGGAAGGTAGATACAGGAAAATATGATGGTTATGTTGTGGTTGGTGAATTCTATGCAGCCACATCTTATTAGAAACTAGCTTTGGATGAGGACAGTTGGTTCAGAACCTGGCTCTAATACAAACTTGTAAATCACCACAGAAATAATCTTCAACAAACAATTGTATAATCAGCAAGAAATAAAGCAAAACAGAGCAGAAAACAAGAGGAAGAGAGAAAAGAGGAGAGATTTCAATTCTCGGAGAAGCAACCATGGGGCCTAAGTCCCTAATTGCCATTTCCCCCAAAGAATATCTCAGACCAGTTCCTTTTTTTGGAAATCCACTGCCCCTAAACTCCAAAACCTTTTCCATGAAGTAGGATTTCTGATTTCTGAAAATTCAACAAATCCCCCCATTTCTCAGGTTCCCTGGATCCAAAACAATCATACTTTCCATATGATCCAACGGCCTTTAAACAATAATACAGCTACTATAAAAGTGAATGATCTTATTCAACATGGAGGTTGGAATTCCTCAATGATTAACTCCTTTTTTTATGATAATTAGGCTTCTGCCATCTTGAGTATGCCTATCCTACCTCACAATATTCCTACTTGTTGGATCTGGACTAAACATTTCATGGGCAAATTCTCCAACTCAGCAGCCTACAAACATCTAATACAGGATAATTTAACCCCTCTAAGCTCTGCCCTCCGATCCTGTATTAAGTGGACTTGGCAACTCACTTGCCCTCCCCGATATCAGCTTCTACTTTGGCGTATCATTTTCAATTATCTTCCAGTTAGAGAGAAAATTTTTGCTCAGAATCAAACCAACTTTGTGTTTTTTGCCAAACCCAAGTGGAATCCACAGACCATCTTTTCCTACATTGCTCCTTTACTCAATCAGTCCTCTTTGCCTCTCCATGGAATCTTAACTTAAATACTAACACTCTTCACAACTGGACTGATTGCATTCTCTATCTAAATCAAATTTTTCCTCAGAAACTGGACCTCATTTCAGCACTTAATTGGTATGCAGTAGCTTTGTACTAGATATGGTTTGCTAGGAATGAAAAAATTTTCAAGAGTTCAGATGTGTCTAACTTGTGGATTATTCAGAAAACTAACTCCATTTGTAGGAATATTTCGGCTAAATCCCCAACTGAAAATTTAACCCAACCTCTTGTTCCTAGATTACATCTTTTTCTCAACAAACATACTGACTGTATTATTTTCACAGATGCAGGGAAAATTTCTCCTTCTGTTTTCTCCTTTGGTATTATTTGTCTAACAAAACACTTGGAGTGTTTACAGATAGCAGGAGGAAGAAAAAACTTGTCCTCAGTGGAAGAAGCAGAACTTTTTGCTATAAATCAAGGACTTTTGGTAGCGCGTCAAATGAACAGATCCAATCTGATCCTCTGCTCAGATTCTCAGTCAGTGATCAATGCTCTTAAAAGAAGGATGGACCTTTCTTGGCATCTTTTGGGACTTATCACAGAAACCTTGAACTTAGCTTCTTCTTTTTTTAATCTGAAGTTTGTATATATTAAACGAATGAACAATGGTCCTGCACATGAACTTGCAAAATGGTGTAAAAATTTGCTGCAGGATCATATCTTTCTTGCTTACTATCCTTCCTTTCTTCCTCCTATTCAATCTTTTGTATCTATTTCTTCAAGTTAATATATTTCTGTTTTACTTGTCAAAAAAAGAATGTTAAATCTGTCCCTAGTAGGTGGCACTGGCAGCAATAAAGAAAAGAAACATAAGTGGCACAGCAGGCCCATTACATAATCAGCCCAAGAAATAAAAGAATAAAAAGGATAGCCCACAGCACACAGTAAATAAGTACTCAAAGAAAATAAAAAGAATACTAATAAGACCATATTTTAGCACTATTTTTATTACTATCCAATAAAAGTCAGTAGTTACAAATCAAAAAAGCTTCTTCCTATATTTATCAATGCATTTGTTAAGTGTTTGGCACTCATTCACACTGCTCAACCTGTAAAAACTACCAAAGCCAGACCCAACAGCACAACCAAGTTATATATTACATATAGTTTCATCTTTTACACAAATTGTGAGTTTTAGTGCAAACAGGAATTGATCAAAGAGATCACCTATAAGGACTACTACCCTTGAGTCATCAACATACTTCACCAATAAAGAAATCCAAAATCCTTTCCAATCAGTTTGTATAATAAGCAGAGTTTTCCAGAAACAGCAATACAAATTGTGAGGGATGAATCCATTTAAGAATGCTTCAACCAGTAGTCCATGGACTACTTGCCTTGAATCATTAACAAAGTTCACCTATAAAGAAACCCAAAATCATAAGCAGAAGAAATACCCAAAACAAATGCCTAAATGTACTCTTATTCTTAAAGAACCCAAAAACCTTTAATTGTACCTCAAAATGATATTCAAGTGCCACAAAGCGGAAGACTCAAAATGATATTCAACCGCTGACACGGGCGGTTGGATTCTTTGGTTAATCTCAGTTAACAAAAGAGTCGATAAAATAACAGTGTCACATGCAGTAGCCTGCTCGCATACCTTTGCATCATGAAGCATCACATCGCTGCAAATTATTGAAAACATCCAAGAAAGGGGAAGCTAGGAATATCTGCAACCCCCACCACAAATTTCAATCTCCGAAATAGAAAGAAACTAGACAATAATAAACTCAATAGACAAAACTTATCGAACGTTTCGATCCAGAAATGAGGCACTAGACTTGTAAAAGAACGGAAACATAATATGCAATTCATCGAGAGAAATGGAAAATAAAACAAGGGTGACAGAGATAGAGATAGATTAGAAATGAAATTGCAGAGAAATTAATTAAAATGAAATTAGTTCGATTAAAGCGCGGTTTACCAATATAATCATGGAGGCGTTCGAAGAAGGCAAAGCGGGAGTGAGGACTGAGGAGAGTCGGGATGTGGAGTGTGATTTGAATTTCATGTCGAGTCGAGCCATGGCCCATGGAGGGAGCATTTGCTGGTATATGTGGACCTGGACCAGACCCCACCCATTGTCACCCTTGGGCAATGACCAAGTAGCAAAAATAAGCTTCAAACCAATATTTTAAGATTCACATCAGACCGGATGGTTGGTCCTCTTGAGATGCCCATTTTTCTTACAAATCTTGACTAGTTCAAAGTAGAGGTGTCGATTGGACTGGATTTGGTCCAACCCGATCCAGTCCAATGTGAGCCCACTTAGAAATGGATTGGACATAATTCAGTTCGAATCCAATCTAATCCATTAAAATGTAAATGGACTTGATTGGGTCCAATCCAAACGGAATAAAATATCAAAATTTATATAAAAAACAGAACATATAAAAATTACAAAAATATATTAAAATGAAGAAAATCTAAAAATTACAAAAATATACCATTTTGGCATTGAAAAAGCACTTTTGTAAAAGTGTTTTCATAAAAGTACTTCCATAGAAGTGTTTTTATAAAAGTACTTTCGTATAAGTGCTTTTGTAAAAGTACTTATATAAAAACTTTCGTATGAGTGCTTTTGTAAAAGTGATTTCGTAAAAGTGCCTTTGTAAAAGTTCTTTCTTAAAGGTGCTTTTATAAAAGTACATTCATAAAAGTGTTTTCATTAGTGTTTTTATAAAAGTACTATAAAAGTGCTTTCATAAAAGTACTTCCATAAAAGTGCTTTAGTAAAAATACTTCCATAAAAGTACTTTCGTAAAAGTACTTTTATAAAAGTACATAAAAGTACTTTCGTAAAAGTGTTTCATGTAAAAGTACTTTTATAAAAGTGTTTTCGTAAAAGTACTTTTATAAAAGTGCTTTTCTTAAAGTACTTTTGTAAAAGTGCTTTTATAAAAGTGTTTTCATAAACTTTTGTAAAAGTGCTTTTATTAAATTACTTTTGTAAAAGTGCTTTCGTAAAAGTATTTTTATAAAAATGCTTTCTTAAAATTACTTTTATAGAAGTACTTTTGTAAAAGTACTTTCATAAAAGTGGTTTTATGTCGCCATCAGTTTTGATTGGTTTCAAATTGGACAAGGGTTTGGCCTCGTGATCGAATTATTGGAAATTTGGTTTACATCCAATTCAAACCAAAAAGAATATAGACCAATCCATTTTGGATTGGCCCAATCAAATAATTATAACAGACTATCCAAATCCAATTTGATAAATCGAATTAGATCCAATTCAAAATCGATCGATTAACACCCCTAGTTCAAAGTTCCCTTAAAATATTCCTATAAGAGGTATTATGCCTTATAATATTTTATTGCTTTTGATTTGTTTTAACGTAAATATTGGAAGGATACAATGTTACCAATAACAACAAAAAAAATATATATATATATATATTTAAGGGATAATCCTTTGAATTAAGAGTACAACTCAGGTAAGTTGGGTCAGGTTGATGGTCAATGCAGTTTCAATTCGGGCGGGTTGGATTGGGTTGGGTCAGGCATAGTTAGATTGTGAGAGATGGTCGATTTTGAAGGAATATATGAATATATTTATATATGACCATTTTTCACTGGGCAATATGATCCAATTTAAGAGTAGAAGTAGTTGAAAACATGTACAAATATCATTTATAAATTTACATATCCATGTTTTATACATATATGCATGTATGCATGTATATGTAATAAAAAAGATAGTTTTATATGAATATAATGCATGAATATAAGTAATTGTTTGGACGGGCTCAAGTTGAGCCAGGGTGGGTTGGGCTCAAACTACTTGAGGCCTTAACCCAAGTTTAGGCCAAGCCCAACCCACAACCTAAAAATGCAGGCCCAACCCATGTAAAAAAACTTGGGTTGGGTCAGGTATGCCCACCCAAGTTGCACCCCTAATTTGGATGTTTTTCTTTATCTTGGGAAAATTACAAGGAACTACCTTCTACTTGAGAGGTAATGATTAGGAATGAGCATATGGATAGGTTCTACTTGGAATCAACCTTGAATTGACCCTATTCAATCTATTATTGGGTACGGTCTACTTTCAAATTCTTAGAGTTTCCCCCCACCCAAGCTAGGTTTCAAGGTCTAGGGGTTTACCCTACCCAACTGACTAAGAGAACTAACCTTGGTTGGCCTTGGTGGAACCAATCTTGCCTTAAAATAATTGAAAATCTAAAAATACTTTGAGGGTGTGAAGATTTCAACCCAAGCACTTATGGTTACAATGGCCATGGCCTCACTTGACCATTGAATCACGTAAGTGATTTGATCATTTTTCTTTAATATAATATTAAAGAATTGGCCCATGCTCACTCTTAGTAGTGATGATTAAGGAATGCTTTCACTTGCAAAAAAAGATGTACCCTATGCTTTCAAAATCCAACACTTAAGCAATGAGGACAAATTTACTAAAATGCTCATTAATGGTTTGATTAGTTGAGAAAATAAAATTGTAAAATGACAAAAATGAACGTTGTTAAATTATTAAAATGTCCATAATACAATTTTATTTTAAACTAGAATTGGATGAAGGATGTTATATGACTTCATAATTTTATTAAAAAATAACATAATTTTAGGAATTAGGAAACATGATTTTAGAGACAAAATGGGWCCCGCACCACTCTAGATATATTTTTTGAGTCAAAACTTATTTATCATTTTTTATGAGTGAGAGAATAAACACATATTTGAAGGATAAGCCCTTTGTACAAGGGCTTTATTTAATATATATGATGGCATTTTGTCCATGTAATATACATGTTGGTGCTAAAAAAGTAGTATTAATTTTTGAAAAGTTGTAAATATTATGTTAAAGCACTTTCAATAGAATAGTGGAATATGTAAAGCTACGTTTGGATAAGCTTTAGGATTAATTTGTGCTTTAAAAACCCAAAAGCACAAATCCTCAATTTGGCTTGTGCTTTGGGGCTTAAAAATATTTTGACTTCAAACAATAATTTATCCATATCTATCTGTGCTACTATTAAAAGTGTGAATGAGAGTTTAGAATTTTTGTTTGACTAAAATACCCTAATTTTTGAATTTGGTCATCTAATTGCAAGTATAGAAATGTAAGGTATTAACTTCCGTTAACATTCATTGAATCCTATTCTTGACTAGAATACCCTTGCTTTTGATTTTGGTTCATCTCTAATTATGAGGGTACAAAATGTAATTTGAACTACCACATGTCTCCTCATTCAATTCCCTCTCATTAAATCTTATATTTAGGGTATTGACTCCTATTTTCTCAATGAATCTTATATTTAAGGTATTCTTTTTACCAATGAATTCTATCAATTAGATCTATATCCAATACCTTTATCCATATAAAATGCATGCTTTTTTAAAATTGATCAAAAAAACAAAACCATTCTTCCATACTACTAGCAAATAAGCAATTCAACCATCTAGGCTAAATGGGTCAATCCATGGTGTCAAAATTAAATAAAAAGTTTTAAAATATAAACAAATAAAAAATATAGAAAATTTGCACATATCTTAAATGTTTTATATTAATTTGTAAGATGATCATCTAATGATCATGTTATGCAAAAATTCCAGTCATTAGAGTGGTGAAAAATCAAATTTTGTTGAAACCTTGATTCTAAAATCGCATAAGACAAAATTCTGGGTGTTCGCTTCTTGGATCAAATGGGTTTCTTCTTCCCAACCCTTCTAGAGGAAATTTCTTTGTAGCTACTCCAATCTTATTGTTGTTTTATTTAGGATAGGGAAGACAGACAACTAATAAGTGGGGAGGTTAGAAAGTGTACTATTTATCAAGGTCACCCCCTGCCCCCCAAATGAGATATATTTGGCCTTCCAAGAGAGCATTTTTTCTCCATTCTTTCAATGACTACATCCCAAACCGAGGAGGAGGAACATTTTGCCCCAAGGGACAGACCCAAGTACTTCATAGGGATGTACTCTATTTGGCATACCAATACCTTAGCACAATCTTCTAAGTTTGAAACTTGACCTACAATAATGCTTTGACATTTGTTCAAGTTTACTTTAAGCCCAAAGACCACCTCAAACCAGCTTAGAATCCCAAGTAAAAGCTCCAACTGCTCATGGGAAGCATCAACAAAACATAAAGTATCATTTGCAAATTGAAGAATATTGACCTTTTCACTCTCAGGGGAAATCGCAAATCTTTCCTAGCATCTAGAATCAGCAACCCTCTTACTAAAAAGGGAAAGGATCTCCATGACACAAATAAATATCATGGGATAGAGGGGGTCACTCTGTCTCAATCCTCTAGAGCTATCAAAAAACCATGTAGATTGTCCATTTATCAACACAAAGAACTTAGGAGAAGAAATGCAAACTTTGGTCCAATTTCTCCATTTTTGCCCAAAGTTCATTTTCTCCAACACAAAGTTTATGCATCAAAAAACCATGTAGATTGTTCATTTATCAACACAGAGAACTTAGGAGAAGAAATGCAAATTTCGGTCCAATTTCTCCATTTTTGCCCAAAGCTCATTTTCTCCAACACAAAGTCCATGCATCTCCAATTAACATGGTCATAAGCTTTTCCTATATCCAATTTGCAAACCAAGTAAGGAGTTCCCTCTCTCCTTCTAGAATCAATAAGTTCATTAGCAATGAGAACTGAGTCAAGTATCTTCCTCCTTAGAACAAAAGCACTCTAATTATTAGACATCACACTTTCTATAACCCCTTTCATCCTCTCAGCCAACACTTATCTAGGACTTTATAGAAATTGTGTAGGAGGCTAATCGGCCTAAAATCCTTAATGTTCACAACCCCTTCAATTTTTGGGATGAGAGTGATAAAGGTGGCATTTAAATTTCTTTGCAAAGAAGCAATTGAGTGAAAAGCTTAAAAAACATTCATCAAATCTTGCTTCACAAAAGTCCCAACATTTAACATAGAAGAGGTTTGTTAATCCATCTGACCCTRGGGGATTTGTCCCCTTCCAACTTGCTGATTACAACCTTGATTTCCTCCTTTGAGAAGGGTCTCTCAAGAGAATA